TTCACAAAAGGTCTGAGAGAAAAGAATCCCAGGGTCATTTTCTAGAATTGCAGGCCTCTCCACTATGGCCAGGTGCAGAGGGAAGGAGTCACAGACACCCAAGAACTGGGCGTGAGCCCCTCCAGGTCTCTACCTCCAATGAGTATGGTCCACTAGAGTACCAGGTGCTCCTCTCCGTCTGTCTTCTGCCCTCCTCCTCAGCCACTCTCTTTGTGTTGGGGTAAGGGTCACCCAGGGGATGCTCAGATAGAAATACGACAATCCTTGTAGGAAGAGTGGCACCATGACAGCCTTAGCCCTGCCCCGAATGTCAAATTTCAGAAAGATGTGTTTACTGCACTGTTGCTAAGAAACAACTGACTGGGGAGTGAGAGTAAGGGGCGGGGAAAGACCAAAGCCTCAATGGAGACTCCAGTGTTGTCCTGTAAGGAAAGGTCTTGCCAAGCTCTGTGCCACCTGGGAGAGACCTGGGGTGGGATGAGCCCGAGGAAGGTATTCTAGGTCACTCGCTGGCCCCTACCCCTCAGCTCTTCCACACCCCCTTGCACCCATCTGGGAAAGGCTCTTCAGATGTACCCAAATAACTCCCTCCCTCCCCCTTCCCCTCTTGGAGTTTTGGTTCCATTCGCCTCACTGTCCCCTGCTGCAGAAGGCCAGCATGCAGCCTGGTGCACAGGTTAGGGGCGTGTAACATTTTGTCTGAATAGGCTCCTATGTTCCCATAATTTATAGTGGTAAGTAATCTTATTTGCAAAGCAAGCCCTTACAGTTATAAAAAACAAGTTAATTGACTTGCATAAAAATCAAACATGTAAAAGTTTTCCATCTTAACACAAACAGGACACTGAGCCCATTTGTACAATAGCTATGATGCAGTGTGGTCCTCGTCTGGCTTACCTGGACCCGGCCTCTTTCATAACCCAAAATGGAATCTTAAACCCTGACAAGGCCACATACCAATGGGAGTTACTGAATTTAGAGTCAGTCACTCAACTAATTATACGACGTTTTATTTTTTTCCTTGTGTCAATAAACAAACTTGGGTCTGACTTCTGACACAGAGTCCTCGAAGCCAATTAAGAGGCGTTCCCAATATATTACAGAGTCTACAAACAAGGATGGCTTTTCTTGGAAGAGTGAACATCATGTTTCTTTTAATGAGTGTGAAAATATATGAGTTTCTTAATCGCTGGCAACTTGGACGGAGCTCTGTCTGGGACAGGGAAATCTCTAACTCCCAATGAGGGAGTGAGCATGGTCCAGGGTCTTGATGAGGATTTTAACAATGGCATCCTCCAGTAAAAATGCTCAGAAGAGAGAGCTGATGTCCAGCATCTGCTCCAGAGAACCTTTGTGGTGGCCGAGTTTTCTGCAGAAAGCAGTGAGACCCCCACCTTAGTGCAGTGAGGGAACATAACAAAGTGTGCCCACATCTGCGCACACGCGCACACACACACACACACACACACACACACACACACACCCCAAAGGGCTGTCAGCAGTAACATCCTATTCCTTTGTTTATTTGTTTACATTGTATGTGTACATATTTCTAAGGGGGGGTTCATAGTGTCAACCCTTTTCCCCATCCCCCACTAACCTGAAAGCCCAATTCACAGGGAAGAAGAGGAAGTGGAGTACTTATTAACCTCCCATTATGTGCTAATTGTCTTTGCTCCCTGTGCTTTATCTCCTCCAGTAAACTGCCTGCAAGATATAATTGTTCCTGGTGAGAATACAGATGGAAAGGGGTGTGATTTGGTCAAAGTCACACAGCAGACTAGCAGCAGAGCCAAGATCAAGGTTCGGTTCACTCAGTCCTGTTACTTACTGTAGGTACACTGGGCAGAGCAGATATGTACAAGCCCAAACTCTTCGAAGCTGAACACCTGGCATGATCTGATGCATCCACCCTTGGGAGAAAATGGCTCCACCTCACTGTCAATATCTTTTGAACCACTACTACGTGCTTTGTAACAAAGAGGGGCTGTGGATCCCAGTAGATGCAGCAGTGTCATAAAACTCAATGGACATGTTCTGGGAGAGGCGCTCACAGTAGATGGGCATTGAACCCAGCAGGACTATAAGGATGGAAGGGTGGAAGCCTGGGGGTTGGGAGGGATATACTTCCAGGAGTGAGCAGTCCTTATCACCCAGGAGGAGAAAGGGCATCCAGGTGATGGACCAGCAGTAGGTGTGAAAGCATCTGGCCCCAGACATACCGGAAGAACCAGCATGGAGGGACCCGCACTGAGCCAAGGCTTGAGACGTGATGGGTGAGGGGAGGTTTGGGGAGAGGAGGGCAGGTGGGACGATGCAGGCAGACACTGTTCTCTGGACCACACTGTTCTTGCTGAGTCAGACAGTTGACAGTAGCCAAGCCTCGGTGATGCAACATTGGTGTCACGGTATGGGGGAAGGGCGAGGCAGTCCAGCCCACTGCCTGGGTCCACCTGCTGAATCCCTGAGACTCCGGGTGAGACTTGGCTTCTCCGTGTTTCAGATTCTCTCCTGCAAAATTGTGTAGTAAAAGGCTGGGGAGAGATCTCAGTGGGTAGAGTGTTCACCTTGTAAAACCAAGGACTTGAGATAGATCCCCAGCTCCCTTGACTAAAAACAAACAAAACTCCGGGCATGATGGAGTACTTGTAATCCCAGTGCTGGGAAGCAGAGATGGGCAGATTATCTTTGGGGCTCATTGGCCAGCCAGACTAACTGAACCATAGAGTCTCTCATTCCTAGAGAGACCCTGAAGAATGACGCCTGAGGTTGTCCCCTGGCCTCCAAATGCACACACACACACACACACACACACACACACACACACACACACACACACACACACACACACACACACACACACACACACACACCATAACTTATTCATATAAAACTCTTAGAACCTGGCATGTGGAAAGAACCTAATAAGAATCCTCACTGGGAGTCCTCTGTCTGACCGGCTCTGTCATTTTGGACAAGTTTCTAAGCCTCTTGATAAGCATCAGTGTCTGGGCAGGTGGCACCCAGTAGGTGCTCACTAGGCAAAAAGATACTGACAGTGCTGTTGTTTCAACATCATTGTCACGGTCCCTGAAACGACAGCCTGCTCTCCTGGTGGAGTGAGAGCTACAGCCACTGGCTCCTGACCATAGCCTGTCCAGTCAAGCTAACATACCACCCAGCAGGACGGGAAGACAAATGGACCTGCCACCTACCCAGAACACGCGTGCACACCAGGGGCACGTAGCCCAACTCGTTAGCACAACAGGGCTCCCTTCTTCTCAGGCTGCTTCCAGGCGCGCCATGTGCTTTGCTCGGAGTGGAGGTCCCCGTTATTTATGTTTGGAAAATGCATTCAGGGCAGTTCCCAGAAGCACTTACAGAGCTCTTATTTAATTGCTACTTTATAAACTCACTGCCCCAAAGAGTGAGGGATTGATGGTCTGGCCTGGCACCTGGAGTGGCCTTGCTGCAAATGCCTTTCCGAGAATGGCTTGGGAGCCGGACTCCCAGGAGCCCTAGGCCCCCTGTACCCTGGCCCGTGTCCAGCTCCAGAGGGCCCTAGAGGACTCATCACCTTAATTCCCAGCTTTTGGATAGCAGCTGAGCAGCTGTTGTGTACACACACACACACACACACACACACACACACACACACACACACACACACGGCCCTTCATCAGCTCAAAGCCAGGGCACTTCCCATAGACCTGCAAAACCCTGGCTCTAAGGATGCCCCAAGCACCGCATATAAGCAAAAGGGATCCTGCTTAGGTCTTGCTGAGCCCACTTGCCTCAATGTCATGTGTCAAGACGAAGCAATCTTGGGTTTATACCTGCAGCCCACTCCCTACCTGGTGTCCACACCATGTATTTCACCTCCCCTGAGCTCTGATTTGTCCACTTAAAACATTTATCTTATGGCTCCCATTTCTCAGCAGCATGGAGAGAGTAAACTTGGTGATTACCACGCTACTCCACTGAGGAAGCAGAGGATCGATGTCATTAAATTCGCTAACCTCAAGGATGGAGGATGAATCGCCTTCAATGAAGTGCTCCTGAGTCAAGGTGAAACTTCCCACCCAGACGAAATTCAGACCTTGTTAATGACCATGTCCATTTACCTGGCAGGACATAGCTCCATACTCCAGAGCCTGTGGTTCCCCAAAGCACATTACAAGCCTTCCCCATCTGATCCTTGAGGGTCTGGCATGCAAGCTTCACTGTGTGGATGCAGAAGCAGAGGCTATCCGGGTAACACAACTAACAGGCTAAGAGTCAGTCTCTGGCTCCAAATCCCACTTGCTTTCCTTCACACCATGCTACACAGCTTGCCTGGCTTGCCCCAAGGCCCGAAACACTGTCCTCCAGGTTCACAGTCTTGTCCTTATGAAGCTATAGCTGAAGTTCTCTCTTTAAGGTGAAATAGAAGCTAGGGCTTAGCACACATTAGGCAAGCTCTGTCACTGAGCTACATACCAAACCCTCTTTTTACTTTTTCTTTTTGAGATAGAGTATCACTAAATTACCCAGGAAGACCTTGAACCTGCCATACCCTTCCAGACTGGGAGTGAGGGGGTTTATAAACTTGTGCTGTCAAGCTGAGCTAGGTTTAAAATTCTTAACATTATTCCATGAGATGTTGTAAAATTAGATGGACAAACATGATTGAGCCCCAGTAATAATTTCTGGAAATTTTATTAGAAAAAAGTTAAGAGTTATGGCTGGAGAAGTAGCTCAGCAGTTAAGAGCGCTTGCTGCTCTTCCAGAGGACCTGAGTTCAATTCCCAGCACCCACATCAAGCAGCTCACAATTGCCAGTACCTCAACTTCCAGTGAATCTGACACTTTTGGCCTCGGCTGGTACCTATGCTCAAGTACACTTACCTCCATTCATATATGCACACATAAAATAAAAAGTAAAAGTTAATTTGAGGGGTAAAGAACAGAAATGTCTCCAGACATAAACATACTAAGTATGTTTAAAATGTTTTATAGAAGCAACTCCTTGTTACAGCATCTCCACACTGTAGAAAAGCAGATAGCCTTGGTACCACATGGCCTTCTGAAGCTTAGCAGGGTACTAAAGGCTCTTCTGAGGAAGAGGGCTGGAAAGCATGAGGACCAGAGCTGTCGGTAATCCCAGGACTCAGGAGGCAGGGTCAGAGGTCCCCAGAGCAATCTGTCGAGCAGATTCCAGATTCGGTGACTCAGTACATATGTAAAGAGTGGTGGAGGGAGACACGTGAAACCAACCCCCGGTCTTGACACACACACACAAGCACATGCATACATCTGTGCACTCACCCACATACATACATGAAAACACTCATATGTATATATGTACACACATGCACCACCCACACATATATATAGCCAAAAAACAAAGTCACTCATTGCCTTCCTCCCCATCTCTAGACAGAGTTAGGTCCTGTCCATGTTCCCGACAGTTGTCTGTGATAACACTGAGTGCACTGCTAGAATTACTCTCTCCTCCCGTGATGCTGGCAACCCCCAAAGTTTTATCCACTTGGTCTCTTGGCTTCTAGTTTAGTGTCTTGGCATTTAATAGATGCACAGCAAAACCTCTGTGAATCAGGAGCTTAGGAGGAGACAGTTTTCATTCAGTGAGCTAGCATAGCTCTGGGTATACAGTAGGCATGCCATAAATGTTGAGACTGATGACGTTTTCACTCCAGGGTAGAGCCTTATTTGTTTAACTGGGACCTGCCACCTCTTCGAGTATTCCCGGCAATTCCCGGGACAGTCTGATTTTCCACTCACTTTAAACTCTCCCTGAACTCTGTGGCCTGCCGATCCCCCATAGTCTCCAGCCCTGCCAGGTCTGCTGGAATCTTTGTGTTTTTCTTTTATAAACTCCACTGATGGGTTTCATAAGGTCACACGGCATTTACCTTTCCTCTCCTCAGTTCATAGACTCGCTGGCATTGTTCACGAATTCATTCTTTCAAACACCCATCAGCTCATTGTTAACATGGGAGTTAGCTCTTGCGGTCCACCATAAGCTGAGTTCAAATCTTGGCAATCTCTGAGACCCTGGGCAGGTGATTTAACTTCTTTGTACCCTCAATTACTACATCTGCAAAGTGTGGGTTTAACAGTGCCCATGATACAAAACTACAGAGCAGATTGAGAGGAACTATTGATAGATTAAAAAAATAAACCAAGGGTTTCATGAATATTGATGCCTTGTCATCCAACAAACATCTCTAGTGCTCTTGAGGACCAGGCACTGTTGATGCTGAGGTGGGTAAGACAAGCTTTCTGCTCCCCACTGTTCTCAAATCAGTAGGGGAGAAGGGGAAAGAGGCATTTAATAGGACCAGAGCTATGCAAACGCCACAATGGAGACCTTTTCCAAGTGGCTACTAGGTACAAAAGGGAAGGAAGTTCCTGTTAATGAAGATATGTGAATATGTCTTGCTACAAATGGAAGATCCCTGGCCCAGAGAGTAGCAAGGACAAAGGGGACTGGTTAGGAGGAGCTAAGTGACATATTCAAGACACTCCAAAGTTTGTAGCAACTGGAGCACTGGGTATTTGAAGCGCATAGGTAAACAAGAGTGGGCAGGTGGCTGCTGACAGCTCCAGACTTGGACAGCATGTTGGCCCCTTCACTGACGGTAAGAGAAGGAGAGGTTTTCCAGAGCCTGTCATTCTTACATGCACATTTCAGAACCAGCTGGCGGCTACTGTACTCATCTGGACAAGATGTGACAAACTAAGATAGGGAAACAAGAGCAAATAAACTTAAAAGACATCTCAAGCAATGCAGAGACAGTCGGTGCACTTGGTCTACTATAGGCCCAGCCAAGAACTATTTCAGCCTGGGAAGCTCACACTCTACCACAGCTACTCTGCAGGTGCAGAGCAACCATGGTCATTTGCAGACAAACAGGCATGGTGATGAAAGGAGGCTGCAGGCAAGTTTGAGCCAGGGGCCAGGGCTGGCCAGCTCCTGATATGTAGGGTGAAGATCAATTGACACCTATCCAGTATTGACAGGGAAATCTCAGGAGGAGGAGCTCAAGAGGTCCCCAAGGCAGCACCCTGCCTGCTTGCCTACTAGACTACCACTGTCCCCCTCAAGTCTCTTCCTTCAAAAGCTTAGAGACTGAAGGCTGGAGTACAGCTCAATGGTAGAGCATTTATCTAGCATGTGCACGGCCCTGGGTTCCATGACCTAAAACCACAAAAGGAAAACAGAAAGAACCAGAACACCGGCAAACTCTATCATACTGGAGAAGCAGCTGTTCCTGTGTCCTGGAACACCCATGACCCAGCTCCGGTCTTTGGAGGGAACACGGAGCAATTATGAGATATTGACCCACGGTATAAGCTTACAGATGGCCTGGATCCAGTGTCCAACACTAGCTCCCTGCAGACCTGTAGAGAAAACCAGTGCAAGCGCCACCCAGCTGCACCACGCAACAAGGAAAGAGCTGACCCAAAGGCAGCCCGCATGCTGCAGCCAGAATGCTTGCACTTGTGCAGCAACAGCTTGCTAGCAGAGCAGCGTGTGCATCTAATTTGGGAAGATCACAAGTACCGAGAAAGCTGGCTATTTAAAGACATCCTGAGGCTCATTCTGGTGTAAAATTATCTACTATTTTATCCCTGTGCATTGCTAGTGGGAAGAAGAATTGGGGCAGAACTTTTGAAGGGTGCTCTGATTACGGCTCGCAAAACCTACCACACTCCTTTACCAGCACTGTCTCTTCTAGTACTCTACCCTTGAGCTGTAATTATGTGTCCTAGATTGTCTCCTTGGGTCCCCTCCCTAGCAACTGTCTAAAAAGGCAGGCTCCGCAGCAAGCACCTGCTGGGAAAGCAGAGGCAGGAAGATTCCCTAGAGTTTACTGGCCAGTCAGTTCCAGGTTCAGAGAGAGGCCTGTCTCAAAAAGTACAGTGGAAAGAGATGACTGGAGATAAAGGAAGGCATCCAATATTGGTCCCTGGCCTCCACATGCACACACATGGCAGGGGAGTGATATTTGAGATGGCTTTGTAGGAGCTGACACAAATGGTTCTGAATCATTGTGTTTTTTGAAAGTCATAGTTATAAGCAACTACATACAAGTTTGAAAGATAATCATATTAGTACACACACACATACCTAGAGCATGGTCAGATCTAGAGTAAGGCAAAGCCAGGTGCCCAGAGAGCACACACTTGAAGGAGATTGTCAATCTCAGGTTCGTGGAGGTGTCGGCTATGAACTACATACCGTAAGGGTAAAGGGTCTTTAAATCTTGCACCCATGATGTTTTGTTTGCCTTACCCTGGTCCCAGTGCTGATGCAGAGAAAAACATAACACACGGGTTACCTCTGAAGACACACACTGAGGAGGAACTAAGGGAAGCAAAGATCTGGCGTTTTCACGATACTGGGTAGCAATACCGTAATCACGTGACAGTTCTGACTTGGTCCAATAGAATTTGCTCTTTCTTCTGTCACCAGACTTCTTCCCAAGCAGATCACAGGTCACTTCCAATGCCCTTCCACTGCCCAGTGAAATAGCTGCTCCTAGGAGGTGGTCTTTTCCACTGAGAGAGTCGCAAGTAGAGTTACAGATACTGTGGGATGGCATTGTGAACGTTTTCAACAAATAATTTCACCTAATCTGTTTTCCAACCCTAGAACAAAAAGCCTGATGTCAGAGGAAGGAGTTGTTTGGGCTCTTGGTTTTGGAGGTACCAGTTTAGGATCAGCTGGCCCCATGCTTCAGGTCCTGTGGCGAGGAAGGCCACTGGGTCACAGAGCTTACAGCTCACAGCCTGGCAATGAAACAAACAAACAAACAAATAAACAAAAAAAGGGAAAAGCTGGTATCCCACAATCCCCATGGAAGGCACACCCCCAATGATCTAAGGGCCTCGAATCAGGCTCCACCTTAAAGGTTCTACAAACTCTTGACACCCTGGAGACTAAACCTTCAACAACACATGGGCCTTTTAGGGACATTCAGCCCCCAAAATACAGCCGGGACCAAAGTTTCTTTGTGCTGTTCTATTTCTAGTATGTGCCTCTTGAGTTCATGGCCACTAGAGTGAGCCTCTGTCTTCTGGCATTTCACCTAAATGGTAAAGAAAAGGAAAGACAGAAGTGTGGATGTCAACTGTTACCACACTTGTAAAAACCCTGTTCTAGAACATTCACCCAGTGACTTCCTAGAGCTGGCTTATGAAACCATGCTTAATTATCAAGAGACTGTAATACCACAAGACTCATTGCCACCTGAACACCATCAGGATTCCATTAGTGAAGGAAAAGATGTGTAAAGATTGCAGGGCAGGTAAGGAACTGGACTGGTCAATGTGCCTGAGTGCTTGCCCAGTTCACGGCCACTCAAGAACTGAAATAAAAGGTCAAATGACTTGTCCAGATTGCACAGCTGTCACGTAGTTAAGACGGCTTGCCATACAGGTGTGTCTGCTTCTGATGCCCTTCCAACAACTGGCAGGGAACTTCAGTCACGTACATGTCCATCTCCTGGTTGACCGTGCTTACATGCACGTGTGTACATGGGTTACAGAGAAAGACCAGCCACAGTGAATCAACCTCCTGTGCCCTCCGGAGGTGACATATCAAGTAATTGTACTACAAGCTTGAACTGAACCAAACTAACCCCCACCCCGACACACACATAACACACACACACACACACACACACACACACACACACACACACGCAAAGATGCACAATAATGAAAGGTCAAGTAAAAGGTCATAAGTGGGCTGGAACATTTTCTGGAGCAGAGATAGAAACTCTGACCTTGAGCTCCAGGCTTGCTCATATCCATTCTCTATGAATAAGCCCAGGATGCAAGCAAGTCATTTACAAAATATGATTGCCTCAAAGGCTTACTGGAAAGACTCGGGGAAACAATGCAAGAGTGATTGCCTAGCACAGACTAACTGTACCAGAAGTGAGTCTTTTCCTTCCTGAACCTTCCTGAGACTCTTATCAAAATGTCTTATACACCACTCCATTTCCCCATCAACGTGCATGGTCATCTCCGAGCAGTTCTGCCTTTACTTCCCATGGCTTACAGGTTGGTAGAAGCACTCGATACTACCGTTCAGCCAGACTAAGACTACAAGCAGAAGATGGCAGAATGGTTCAAGATTTCCTAAGAGATTCCAGATGCCAACTCTCAACAAGCAAGATCAACAAAAATTCTTTGACTTTTCTGATACTTTGACCTCATTACTATTTGAAGAGAGACTTCCACCAAGAGCCTCCTTTGAAAGCATTCTCACTTATGAAGTAAGTCCCACACAAACTTGCACACAGTAGGGCACATTTGAGAACAAGTACTTGGCATAGCTGGCACATGCTTTTGGGGTATGCTTTTCAGACCGATATGTATGCAGTGATGACTGGTCTAGCGACCAGCGAAAGTCCCAGCAAATATGGACTATCAAGGGCCCTTGGTCTCTGAAGGGGAGATTTATGACACATGAACAGAGAAATGCAGTTGTCTGTATTCCTTTACTAAGAAAGGAATGGGGGCAGCATATTGTAGCTAGAATGAGAAGGAAGTGGGGGGGTGGAGCAGGAGAGTAGCCTGGTTGCTCTAGCGATGATAGAGATGTTAGAGCATGTTGGGGTACAGCATGCAGCATCCATCCATCCCACTTACTTTTGCTGGTAGCACCCTGGTTATATGTCCATGCTCTCCTTAGAAACAATTGACAGTTGGTCCTCTCGGTGGCTGCCAAGGAAGGATGCAGCTGAGTGAGGGAGTCACGTGGCCCTGGTAAGAGAGGAAGATGCTATAGCAGCTTACAGGCCTGTGGTTCTCAACCTTCCTATGCTGCGACACTTTAATACCATTCCTCATACTATTATTTTTGTTGTTTCTTCATGACTGTAACTTTGCTACTGTTATGAATCATAATGCAAATACCTGTGTTTTCTGATGGTCTTAGGTGGCCCCTATAAAAGGGTCATTTGACCCCTCAAAGGGGTCAAGACCCACAAATTGAGAAACACTATTATATCCAGAAGGAACCTAATCCTTCCAGCATCTTACAAATGTAATGTTCTATCAGCGCCAGGGACTCATAGAGAAACATCAGTACCGAGCCCCCCAGTCTGTTCACTGAGGGACCCTGCCTCCTCCTAGCCATCCAGGGAGATTATAGTCAAAACAATCAGTCACAGTAATCGAATTCACTCTGTCAAGGGTAACTCTCCCCCTTAGAACTCCATGCAAGAACAGAGTAGCCAAGATTGAAGCTGGTAAGGTGTTCTTCCACTCCGCCTCACCTGAGTGAGGCCACTGAGCAGCCACTCAGTGGCCTCACCTCCCTACACTTTAGCCTGGCGTTATCTTTTCCAAACCCAGGTCACCAGCCTTTTCCCTTACCAGTATACCCTGTTGTGTTTTAACTTCATGTAGAAAATGGATTTATTTAGTTTGTCATTTTAAGGACTGAAAGTTCAAAATTGGGTCAAGTACATTGATTTGGTTTCTGGTTCAGGCCTTGAGGCAGAAGTAAGAAATTAGAGCATAGGGGACAGAGGGAAGGGTCACCTAGTGAGACAGGAAGCCAGAGAGCATAAGCTACCTTGCAGTTCTTTCGAACTTTCATATCTTAAAGGTGACTCATCAGTATCTCATGCTTGCAGCCAAAGGCTGATAACCACTGCCGTGCTGCTGTGTAGGAAGAGGTACTGATCACGTGTGCACGCGTGTGACGGCACATAGATCTCCTTCTGCTGTGTGTAGCATAAGATCCCTGGGATCCCCTTGTACTCTTGAAAGCTGACACTTTTTTTCACCCTGTCCCTCTCTGAGTCTCCCCTATCTCCAGCCATCCCTAAAGTCCACTGGGATCTGAGGCAGCTGTGAGCTCTGGCCCTTCCCTCCAAAGTGTCCTGGTAACTACGGAGAACCGTTGAACACAGGGGAGATAAGCGCCCAGGCTGAGAAGAACAGAGGACAGGAATACATTTCCAAGACCCAGGGACCTGCTGTATGTCAACAGAATTCCCACAAGAGACCTTGGGCTAGTCTGCCCTTACAGGGCGGGAGGAGATTCTTTGTCACTAGGGAGGAAGAAGGTCTTTGCTCTGGGCTGTCATGGTGGGAGGTCAGGAAGGAGTTCCCACCCATCTTTAAAAAGGCCACTCAGCCTCAGAGCAGCCAGGGGTGGCCCAGTCGGGGTGATATAAGGAGATGAGCAATATAGCTGGTATTTACTATTGAAAGCACATAAGGGCAAATATTTGGCCAAGCGTTTATTTGCTAGTGGGACTATTTAAATGGTTGAATGGAGCCCAAGTGTCAGCATGGAGAGCTTGATTAAAAACAAACAGGAGAAGCGTCTCTCTGCTCTTGTGAAGTTGGAAGGTTTTTGTTTCTTTGGCTCTGGAACCTCAGCAGGCTCTGCCTCTCAACTCCAGACAGCCAGGCAGGGAGCCTCCAGCGCAGCAAGCTCTTCCCACCCCCATAGCTGAAGAGGAGGGCTCTGGACACCCCTCTAGTGATAGCAAAGGCTCTGCAGACCCAGAGCATCTGGGCCCTCCCCTTCCCCCTCCATCTTCGCTTTCCTTTCCAAATGAGGACCAGTGCTAGAGAAGTGTTTCCCCTTCAGTTGCCCTGGACAGCTGGCTCAAGGGAGAGTGGGACCCCTCTTTGCCCAGCGGTCTCCAGAGGACACTTTTGTCCCTCAGAGGAAAGCTGTCTGACATCCCCTACTCTGAGCTGGGTTTCATGCCACACCCTCCCTTCCATTCTTCTATGGTCTGCCTTCCACAGGGCAGGGCCCTCGCTCCACTTTACAGGTAGGTAGACTGAGGCGCAAAGGTGCCATGGTTTCCCTGAAGCCATGCAGTTGGAAGATGGCAAAACAAAACTTGAGACTAGTACTCTCAGACTCTGAAAGTCCATACTGCCTTATTCCCTCTTCTTCCTGTATCCTGCGACCTTCTTCGGTGGCCACAAGGAGCCAAGGCTGAGATGACTGGGAAGGTAACTCTGGCTGTGGGGACCGAACCATATTCACAGCTCTTGGTTTTGGGGAATGCGGAGCCCATGGGAATGATTACTTCCCTAGAAATAGCAAACCCTCAAACTCCAGGACCCTAAGCAGCACATTCTGGTATCAGCCACTATTGTCAATGCTTCTCGGATTCCCCTGCTCAGGTAGGAGGACAAGAAGGAAGGAGAAGGCTTAGAACCCCACTCCAGAAATGTGACTTTTTGCCCCAGGACAATTGCATCCTTCTGTACTCCCACCTGTGCCCTGGAGGTCACAGACCTAGACGCGAATGCTGGGGACATGCAGCTGGGACAGCTAGATTTTCTCTTTGAACCTCAGTGGGGGAGAGACACACCTCCAAGCATCATGAGTACTATTAATGCAAAGGACATCTAGAAGATGGTGCTGACACCAAGCGGCAACCCCCCCTAAAAAGTACACACACACACACACACACACACACACACACACACACACACACACACACCCTGAATGGAGTATATGAATGCCCTGGATCCTTAAAAAGGGAAACGTCCACAGCTCCTGCCTCGGGCAGCTCCCTGCCCCCACAGCTCCTGCCTCTGGCAGCTCCCTGCCCCCACAGGACAGATTGAATAGTCAAAGCCAGTCCTTTACCCCTTGCGACTCTGCAAATTGCAAGCAAACAAGACTGCTCATGATAGGCGGCCCTGGAGTGTGGCCAGATTCCTGAGGGTGAGAAAAAATATCACACTAAATCTTCAGGAGACAGTCTCCAGAGAGAAGCAGGTCTTACCCAGGGACCCCTGCCTGGCCCCTGCTGGTCCAACCCAAATGCCCTGGTGGGAAGCCCCTTTGGAAATGGCAGACAGGCTGGGGACTAAACTGTCTCACAGCAGAGGCCTGTGGGTGCTGGGGACCTTCTCAGGCCTGAAAAACCTGGTTTCACACAACAATTTAGGATCAAATTCTCGTTGGGGCAAAGAATCTTTCCCAGTAGGGGGACTTTGGTAAAGCACATAGGTGTGGTCAGACGTTAGAAAACATGAAGTAAGTTTTGTTCCCAGCATTTCACAAGGGGTTAGTACCAGAAAGAAAATTCTAACCCAAGTGGTCTCTAACACTGCATGCCTGTGCCTCTGGCGGGCTATAATTCCCCTGCTCATTTCCTGACCACTTGAGCTTCCCACGGGGGACCTTACCAGACTTCCATCCCAGGCTTTCGGCTGAGACCTGGTCCTCAACGCTCTGGATGTGCTGTATCTCTAGCAGGGCACATTTAGAAGTGCAATTACCCTCATGTTTATATGCAGACTTGGTGGTTGGTGTTTATGATGAAGATAAGTTCTGAGAAATGTCTTGTCACTAGGCAATTCTGTCATGAGCAAACACCATAGAGTATACCCACACAAACTAAGATGGTAGTCATGTCACCAAGAGATATAATTTTTTTTCTTTTGGTTTTTCGAGACAGGGTTTCTCTGTATTGTTTTGGAGGCTGTCCTGGAACTCACTCTGTAGACCAGGCTGGCCTTGAAATCACAGAGATCCGCCTGCCTCTGCCTCCAGAGTGCTGGGATTAAAGGCGTGCGCCACCAATGCCCTGCTGAGATAGAATTTTCTATGGCCATTGTCATATATGCAGTGAATGATTGACTAAACTGTATTATATGGTATATGACTATATGCTTGTGTGTGGATTTATGCAAGTGCACATTTGTATGTGAGCATATTGCGATATGTAATAAGCATACATTATAATATATGCATGTGTACAAGGAATATACAAAAAAGCTATGTAGTTGCCTCACAGAAAAATGCCTAGGTCTCCATATATGTATTCATATACATGTGCATGTGTAAGACTGTTCTTGAATTCCATGAAAAGATAAGAAGCAACAAAGTTGCTGAAAGGAAGGAGAATGGGTGTAAAGGGAGAAGAGAAGAAAAGAGGAATTGAAATGTCAGAGGATCCAGAAGAAGAAAGATGGTTAAAAGTTTAACAAACATGGAGAAAGCAAAAGCAGAAATGCACCTCTCCCCAGTATAAATCATTGCATCGCTTCAAGGCCATTAGCTGGCCAGAAGTTCTACGAATGTTCCATGGGTCCGAGAAATGTAGATTTGGCCCACAGAAGCTCGCCAGAGCCAGTCTAATACAAGGGGAGGTGCGTCAGATCCAGCCCTAAGCAGGCTGGCATTTCCACCCTTTTCCCCAGGATACCCTCCAATCTCACATCTGGGTGTCCATATGTAGTCAGGTCCTCCCTGGAGCCTGGCCTGCAGCTGGTCCTCCCCAAGACCCTTGTGTCCCTAGAGAGGTGGACTGACAGCTTTCCCATTCCTGGTTTCCCATCTGTAGATTTGGCTAGTAAGTAAACTGTCTGCCTTGCTATGACAGGACACCACAGACTTTATATACACCAGAAATTTGTATCTCTCACAGTTCCAAGCCATGATAAGGTGAGGACAGCTTCCTGGTTCACAGAAAGCCACAGTTTTTGCCGTGGCCTCAGATCGTCTTCAGTAAGTGACTAGAATCTCTTCTATAAGGGCACTAATCCCTTTCATAAGCACTCCACCCGAATAACCAAGTCACCTGCCAAAGATGCCATCTCCTAACCTAACAGCAGGTTAGGGTTCTACATGTGATGGTGGGGAATTTATAAACAGTCTATAGCAGCATTTTCCAACCTGTGGGTGGAGACCCCATTCACCTAAGACCATTGGAAACACAAATATTTACATTGTGACTCATAGCCATAGAAAGCTTACAGTTATGAAGTAA